TGTGTGTGTGTGTGTGTGTGTGTGTGTGTTTGTGTGTGTTACGGTGTGAGTCGGGTTTATGTAAGACAACATCATATTAATGATATCACTGCTTTCTCTCTGTGTGTGTGTTACAGTGTGAGCCAAATCAATGCTATCCAAGGTCATGTTAATGGCATCACAGCTATATCTCTCTCTCTCTGTCTCTGTGTTCGTTACAGTGTGAGCCAGGACTAGGCACGACCATCATGTACGATCTGCTCTACACGGGCGATCCCAAGGTGATGTTGCTCACAGGCTGCAGTCCCGTGTCCACGACCGTGGCCGAGGCCGCCAAGATGTGGAACCTCATAGTGGTGAGTGTGCCTCTACGTTATAGCAGGGGAGGGGGAGATGGATAGTCGGAAGGAAGGAAGGGAGGAAAGGCGGGAGGGAGGGAGGGAGGAAGAGGGGAGGAGGGATACAGGCTGCAGCCCCGTGTCCACCACCGTGGCCGAGGCCGCCAAGACGTGGAACCTCATAGTGGTGAGTGTGCCTCTATGTTATAGGGGTTGGGGAGGCAAGCTGGGAAGGAGGGAGGGGATAGGAGGAGGAAGGAGAAGGAAGAGAGAGGTAGAGAGGGATATGGGAAAAAGAGTTCTCCTGCATGTTGAACATTTAGCGGGAGGTATAAGGGAGAGATAACCGTGCATGGTTTTAACTGTATACTTTTAGCAAGATGTTTTTTTTGCAAGAACCAGGGAGCTGTGAGAACCATGCAAAGTAGAAGAAAGTGTTTATTTTTGACGTAAGCGCCTTATGAAAGGGCTTCCTTCTATCTTACCGCCGCCGTGTCCTCCGCTCACGCACGGAGAGTTGGCAGCAACCTTGGGAAAAATAAACGGAGAAAAGGGAAAAGAAGCTGTGCTCTTATGCTATTGTTAACGTACTAATATTTGTTACTTGTTATCTAAATACTTGTTCACTGTCGCTTATTAACTAACGAGCGATGGCGTCCATTTTATTACAATAATATAATAATAAGGGCTTCTTTAATGCGCTCAGACGCGAAGACGCGTGCGTAATCTTGAGATTCAAAAAGAAGCTTTCGACTGCATAGAAAGAAGTTTCTGCATACACGAGTGGGCGTTTGCATGCCGTAATAGGGATTTTTGTCCGCTATACGAGGGTGGGGAGTGGTTGTCGATACCGTTCTTTCGTCTTCTCTCTAGTGGCTGAACGCTCCATTTCTGCTTGAAATTGCATTATTGTTATCATTGATCGCGTTATTTCTGCAAGCCGTCGCTCTCTCTCTCTCTCTCTCTCTCTCTGCGTTTCAACGAATTCCAAGTGCGAATTTCGTCGCTGTATAATCGTAACAAACAGAGAGAGTGGTCATCGATCATCCGACTGCTAGAAATAAAGGATATATATATAGAGAGAGAGAGAGAGAAAGAGAAAGAGAGAGAAAGAGAGAGAGAGAGAGAGAGAGAGAGAGAAAGAGAAAGAGA